GTAGATATACTGTACCTAAACATAAGCATGTTACAGCTGATGTCCATAATAAGGCACCCAGCCTCTCACTCAAGGCTTGAACTATATGAAGTCTAATCATGAATGCTACTTTAGTATGTATGTGGGTGGGGCACATGAAGGAATGATTGCAATATTTTTACATTATGCGACTGTTATGACATTTATAGGTGAAAATACATGCACTAGTGATTGTACGTATGTTTTTTTTTAGTTTCAAAAGAACTAGAAGTACATTCAAAATACATATCAAAGTGTTGACATTTTATGCCTCTGTATTACAATTTTAGAAAAATGTAACTTAACAAATCACGGTACTCAAAGATTTAATCCAAACATAATAAATCACTGCCAAACTTCAGGTTATACCTGCTTACTTCTTAGGACCTGTGTTTAATGGCTCAATCTATCTTGTTCTTTTAACAAGTATGCTGTCACAATAACTGCCTCTTCTATCATAAAGATATTAACCTGGAGGATTGTCTCAAAGTATTGTGGTGAAGGAACAGTATAAATACTTTCTTTCTCTGATAGCTTTTATTTTGCACGAATTTCTGGTTTGGCTTTATTGTTTACTTTGGGTGTGTGTGTGTGGGGATAGGAATACTCATTGTGTCTTTAATTTCTGGACTCTACTTTTTTATTACTGGCCTGATTGAAGACAAAAACCTCTTTTAAAGTGAGGATTTATTAAGCATTCATATTTTATGCAACAAATTATTATTATAGCAGAGTATCTGATCTCCCCTGTAGCATCAATGCAATAAGTGAAACTACTCTGTCTTCCCACAGGGAACATAAATCCTTTTCCAATCAGGCTTCTATCTGCTTTTCAAACAACATTCTGAAAGTAGCTAACAGGATAACAATTAAAATGTTGCTCATTTATTGCCTTATGTACTGTGATCACAAGCACTAAGAGAATAGGTTGTGTGTAATCTCTGTTGCTGTACCTTGAACCTCTTTCTTTGTCTAAACAATTTTGAAATCTTTTTTTCAAATACTTTTTAATAAAATAAATCTCTTCTCTTTCCCCCATTTTCAATGAGATGTGAAAAATTTAGAGAAACAATAAAAAAAGCTCATTTATGAATAACAAGCTATTTTTCACCGGAGACAATACTTTGGCCTTTCATTTTTGTTTTCATTTATTGCTTTTCAAAAATATATATCACATTTTAACTGTGCACTTTTCTCCAGCATGGGAGTTCAGGTCATTTGCTCCAAAACAGGCACAGCAGGAATGCTTTTAAGACTCTTTCCTTGTTTTGAGTACCATAGTCATTTCAGTGGACTATTTAAAAGTTTTATACCTATGCCATTAAAATTGCTGTTTTACAAGTTAAAATTAGTCTCTGGCTGCTGTGTTCATTTTTAAAACAGTTCTGTATTTCTTATATATAGTCAGGTTACGCCACAGGGCCTTGTATCATGTTCTTGTCAAACATTCTGGGCACTTCTTAAGGGTACTCTGTGACAAGGAAGTTGCATTTGTATATCTATACAAAATGAGATGTAGCCAAAGCATAGATAACTCTTGTAAAATCAGAGCTGTCTGACTAGGCATAACTAGGCAAGTGGGTTCCTTCCAACAGGTAGCATCTGAAATTGCACTCACAACCTGATCATAAGAAATACTCCCAGCTGCAGATTTGTTCTTTATAGGACAACACAATCTCATCTAGCACAGGCTGAATTGCAGTCCTCAAGTCCGCTTTCCTATTGACCAACAACATTTACGATGAATGTGTTGTATCTTATGATTTATGATGAATATATGTTTATGTTGATTATGATCATGATTTATTACTGATACTTGTATGTACACTGAGAGCTTGTGCACCGGAGACAAATTCCTGTGTGTCCAACCACGCATGGCCAATAAAGAATTCTAATTCTAATTCTAATTCCTCAAATTTACCTGGATTTAAGTTCAGGTTGTTCTGATCACCCAATCTGTGGTTTAAATATTCAAAAACAATGATTGTTTCCTAAGAGCTGGATGGCAGGAAGTAGTAAAACTGGGAGTTGCAAGCATATTAATGTAACATCCCACTCCTAAGCTAGGAATGATAACTCCCAGAGATTTCATATGTATGAAACTGGGTTTCCCTTTTGTGGCAACCACTTATAGGGCAGAACAAAAGCAAAAGCTAACCCTTTGGCCCTGAGAAAAGGATTTAGATTATCTTTCCTCAGAATTGGATTTGTTAAGAAGGAGTTAACATTTATCAGAATATACAAGGGGAGAAGAGACTATTCTGGCTGCTGCTGTTATGTTATAGAACAGGAGTGTCAAACTCACAATGTCACGTGATATGTCGCAACGTATCATGACTTTTTCCTCATTGCCGGCAATGGGGTGGGCACGGTTTCAATGTGACGCATCCGGCCCATGGGCCTGCAGTTTGACACCCCTGTTGTAGGACAGGTACGGGATATTATAACTCACTTTCCATCACAGGAGATATAGCACCCCTGGGGTTGTTCCTAAATGTGGGAATTGTGCAGCATAGAAATGTTAATAATAAATCTGGGCCATCTCAATGGAAGAGACCCAGGCTGACTCAAGTTACTGTTCAATGCTAGATTTGTCTGCAATAATATCAACCATCTATAATCTGGTTTCTATTGCAGAGGTTTTAGTACAGTGCTTCCTAAACTTTTTCCTTCACGACCCAAAACCATTTTCAGGATTCAGCAAATAGTTTTGTCTTGTGCTCTTTATGAAGGTATGAATGGAAAATCCTACTTTACACATACAGGTGCTTGGAAATGGCAATAATTGCCTCACAGACACCACAGCTACCATAAGATATTCACCGTGAATTGCTAACCAGAAAGACTCCAAATTCTCCTTTTCCCCCCCTTCAAATAATATTTTGCACTGACTACTTAATGAAGCAGTCAGTGCAAAATATTAGTGTTTGCTATACAAAATCATTAATGGGTTTATGTATCCTTATGAATGAAGACAAATATACAGTACATATCTGAGAATAATGTTGCAGGATCCTATCTGGGTCAGTCACCAGGACCAGAGATTTAGTCTTCTGAGTTTTCAAATTCATGCTGGAGCCCATCCTCATGGACTCATCATCATTTCTATCCTTACCCAAAGTCCTTACCCAAAGAAAAATCATTTTAACTCAATTTGTGGTAATTTCAGCAGGTTTGGGAAATACTGCTTAAGAGGGGAAGTTGGATAGTCCAAATTTAACTAAGTTAGCTGGATGGTCCAGATTTAATTAAGTTATCTCCACCTGGATATGTTGTATAGCATCCCAGTAGATCAACGAGGAAGAGGTGAAATTAGTTATCCATAGGAATTTTATTTCCCTAACTAGGAAACTAATCTGGGTTTGATATGCAGTGGGTGCTGGAGAATCGTAGAACTTCAGGCTTTGAGAACTCAAATGTTTGATAAGGAATTAACAGAATCTTCATATAATTTTATTTTTTAAAAATTAAGAAAAAGATTAAAAACTAATATAGAATGAGAGAAGGAAAAGAAGAAAGAATAAAAAAGAGCTAAAAGTGTAAGAAAGAATGAAAAATGGTAAAAAAAATAAATAAAAAAAGAAAGAAATGATACGAAGAAGCAGTTTCCAATTTTCTTTACAGCAGTTATAAATACATTTATAAATTTACTTCTTGCTCTGTGGTTGCAACATAATTCTCTTTTTTTCTATAGTCTATTTTATTTAATCACCAAAATCTTAAATCATAAGTTCATTTCTTTCGGTTTCATGCAAACTCTATAAGTGATTTCCAGTCAGCAATAAACAAAGATATTGTTAATTTAGCCATCTTATCAAGTTCTATAATCTTCACCAATCATTTTTCCATTGTGGGTAATTATTTTTTATCTCATCCAAAATGACTTGTGTTTTCTCTCTCCTCTTCTTTTTGAGTCAAATATTATGTTTCATAAGATAACCTCTTATGAAAGTTTTTCATCCCAAACCATTCCTAAATCAGTGCCTTTACCTAAATTATAGTAAACAAATTATTTCAATTTCTTTTTACAGTCTTCCACTATTGCTTCTTTCCGTACCATTTTGTTCAGTCTCTATCTAAACAATTAGGGTTTTGTTTATAAACCAAATTTACAGGATTATGTTTTGAAACAGTTTTTGATAGTACCTCTACTTTAGAAATCTTAGTTGTCAATTTCTTTGAAATTCAAATTATATCTATTCTTGAAAAGGATCTGTGTCTTTCTGAAAAATAAGCATATTTTCTTGAATTGCCTTTTTGGTCTTCACACTTCAACCAGCCCTAAACTGTCAACAAATAAAAAAACTTTTGGTAATATATTCTAATTTATTTTAACGCTTTTCTCAAACATTCTACCAGTTGTGGGGAATTCCAATCCCCCATCAAACACCATTTTTTCATAAGAAAAGTCTATTAGACTATCTGTAAGTCATTTATAGAACAATACTTTATTCTTATTTAGGGCATAAATTCCCAGTATCAAACTCTTAGTCCAATGCAAATTAACTTCCACCCCAACAAATCTACTATGCTTGCCAGTCAGTATAAATTCTGGATTAATATTAAAAACAATTCCATTTCTTTTCTTTTTTCTTTTGTTCCCACTGAAATAATGTTTTGCCCAATTTTTTATAAATCAAATATAAATCACCCTGTAGTTACATCACAATCCATATCAGTATAATTATGATCAGCATCAATCTGGCTTATATTACTACTATCTTTTGTTTTGTAAAACCCACAAATTGTTTGCAGTCTGTAATAATAAATAGTAAACATTTCCATGGATGTCTGGTGTGTTTACTTTAATTCCTATTCATTCAAAATGACTTTCACCAAAAAAAATCTTTCAAAATAACTGCCTCCTTTATCCATTTTAAACTTTTTAAATTGACTCCTGGTTAAGCTATTGGCAATTCCTATGTTTTAAAAATCTTTATTTTGCTTTATTCCTTTGTAATCCAGAAAAAAAGATAACTCACCATTAAAATTTTATCCTGATGCTCAGAAAATCTCTCTTAGCTGCAAATTCATGAGATCCAAAAATATTGAAGAAATGAAGCTTGGCTGAACTTTGTGTCCATTAGTGGCTACATTACAGGCATGAGCATAGATGGAATCCCTCAAGTCCCAGCTGCTCAACTCATAAACCAAATGCAAAATTTGCAGTTTACTCATGAGGAGCAGATGTTCAGAGTGTAATTGGGCAATCTCATGATCTCTTTTTTGTTCAGAGACACTTTGCTGGTCAGCATTCACTATTTAGTTGCTGTTTTCCATCATAAAGTCATTCCCACTCGTTTGGAGACATTTTGTTCTCAATGATCCTCAATAGAAGCTCCAGAAATAAGCACCCTCTTCAACTACAAGTGATTGGCAGTGACAATTGTAGTAGCCGTGGCCAGCAGCATCAGGAAATACCAGTGGAATAGGCAAAATGGTGTTATTATCCCCTTGGTAAAAAGGATGTTGGATGGTCAAGCTTTTAATTGAGGTCTCTTTCCTTGACTATATCGCTTTGATGTCTGTCTGAAATCTGTCTGGCTCTTTGACATAAATTGCTTCTCCATCCAAATTTAACCTCCACCCAAATCTACATCATAGTGTTAAAACATCTCAGTGGCTAAGTCAGTTTTATATCCCAGCATGCTTAATAAGTGGGACAAACTACTGCTTGTTTAGATGTAAATCCTTAAACTGAGTATTGACTGTCATATTGAGATGGCCATACACTACATCTCAATCCATTCCACTCCCAGCACAAATGCTGCAATTAAATTGAAGATTTGATAGCGCTGAACATTTAGCGTAGATATGCTTTTAAAAAAACAAATGAAATATACTTTTAAAGCAGAGAGATTCAATGTTACATTAGTTTCTCTATCTATAATTCTACCTCATCAGCCATATGTTATATTTAGACATCTGTTAATCTCCTATGTGGCATATTTTGCAAAAGGACACCAGGTCATTCTAGTTGATCTTAACATGCTGAACTATTTCATGAACCAGAGTGTCCAATGGGCCATAGACACAACCACAAAACCAGTCCAGTGACGCAAATTGGCAGCTGACATAAACAAGTTGAAAAAGACCAGAAAGCCAGCCAGTAATGAACCTTCAGGAATGGCTTTTTGTTTCATTTTTTTATTTTTATTTTTCTTTTTTGTTAAAGCAAACCACATTTCATATTTCATAACTGTGGAAATGTACAGAGATTTAACATACCCAATTTCATGGTTTCCAAATGTATACTTTAAAGCATCTTTTGGTGCAAGTGCGAACTTGTGCTTTCATTTATGTCCTATTACACTCCTATTAGTACACTCCTATTAGTGTGTATTCAATTATAAATCCCATTGGGTCTACTTAGGAGTAAATTCCCAAGTACGTTCTAGATAAATATACAAGTAAAATAATAAAATTAGGTAAGTAAATACAGTAATAATGCAATAGATGGCCAAAAATCATACGGACATGGATATACACATACTTCTTTAGCATATCCACATATAGTAGGTACGTCATGAATAAAATGAGTCATGGCTAAAGAAAAAAGGTTTATCTTTGGAATCAAGATTAGCAGAGAAAGAACTCAATAGAACTGCAATGGAATACAGCTCTAAGTTCTTAAACAAGCTGATATTTAAGAAGATGGTCAAGTTACATGGAAAAGAATAGCCAGATACATTTCAGGCTTTTGGAATTACAGGTAATCCTTGACTTACAACTATTAATTTAGTGACTGTTCAAAGTTACAATGGCACTGAAAAAAGGGACCTACAGCCAGTACTCACACAACCATCACAGCATCCCCATGGTCACATGATCAAAATTCAGGTGCTTGGCATTTGACATGTTGCAGGGTCCTGGGGTCAAGTGATTGCCATTTGCGACCTTTCCAGCTAGCTTCTGACAAGCAAAGTCAAGGGGGAAGTAGGATTTCCTTCACAGCTGCATGATTCACTTAACAACCATGGCAAAAAAAGTCCATAAAATTGTGCAGGACTCACAATTTACTTAACAATGGTAATTCTTGTTCCAATTGTGATTGTAAATCTAGGGCTATCTGCATGCCCAGAAACAGACTGATAGCCAACCAATGCAATATAAAAGCTACATATTTATATAATTGGTTCCAGTCAACTAATTGTTGGGGTGAGAAGAATATTTTTTTTACAAATACATTTGCAAGGCATCACCAAACATCAAAAATTTACAAATGGCATAGAACAGTTTTACGTCCTATTGAGCAATCAGCCTACTGACCATAACAACATGTGTACAACCTGTGGTGTGCTTTCATATTCATATTAGCATAGAAAGGTCCCCAAAGAATTTGGTGGTTTAGTTGCATGCATATAATCATATGACACTGGCCTGGAAATATTTTGAGACAGACAATCTCATGAGATTTCTGTTATTTCCTGCTTTTGATCAACCAAAATGCAGCAGAAGTATTTCTCTTGAAAATGAGTCATGAGTATATATATATTGTGTGTGTATGTATGGATATATATATATATATAATGTGTGTGTGTGTGTGTGTGTGTATTGCAATTGAAAGAGTATAGAGATTTTTTTTGTTTTAGCACATTGTCCATACATTTTTTATTGCAGAATACCTCATTAAAATATTTTGGATTACTAAAGCATTAATAAATACTCAAGCAATTCCTGAATACAAAACAACATATATTTTGTTGAACTGGAATACACAATGTTCTCGTGGAAACTAACAGAATCCAATGTGAAAAACGGAAAGTGCTCATGCTAACATCATTGCTTCATGCCTTCGTGTCCTTGGAAAATAAGATGTTTTTAAAAGAAATTTTGCCAACCCATCGGATGCAATTTATGGAGAATAAATAGCTTTGTCTCCTCACCTTTCCATTAAACTTTCACTGACTTGTTTGTAGGCCAGGTTTTCCAACTGTTTATGTAATAGGCACAATTTAGAAGCATGTTATTTCCACCTTGCTGCGCACGTGATTTGCTGTGGTGAACTTGTACGTAAATGAGGTTTTTCCTGTGGTTTCTCTGTAGAGGCTGGAGAACTCGGGTTTAGAAAAGATAACTGAAGCTTTTTTTTATTATTAAGGATAGAAATCTAGTTTTGAATTGTACAATACTTAGACATTCTTCCGTTGCTTCTGACTAAAAACAAGCTGTATTGAAAGAATCAAGATAATAAATCTAGGGTAATTTTTTTTCTTAATTTGCCACTAACACAAACATAAATTAATCCAATGTGGTTCAGAAGTTAAAAGTACAGTACATAAATCTATATTATAGTCATTTGCTAGACAACTGAGATTCTGAATTAAGTTTTAAATTTTAGTGCCTATATTTTGTGATATTACTGTTTGAAGATCCCTCGCAACAAAAAGGCATGCAAAGCAATTTTAAAAATACAAATAAAGACTGCATTCAGTTTTGGTGAGCTATCAGGTTTGAAATTAGCTTAGTCTAGGTATACAACTTAGAACAGGGGTCCCCAACTTGTGGGCCATGGCCCATTACTGGAGTGCAGCCTATTGGCTACTGGGCTGTGTGAGTAGCTGGCCAGTGTGTGCATGTGCATAGATCCACTCGCATGAGCATCATTGCAAGCATTGAGTGTTCGCAGCCCCACCTGTCTGAGTGCTCGCAGCACCACTGGTGAGTTCACCCCCCTCACACAAAATCATCCCTTTTTTTCCCTTCCCCCACTCCAGGCTACCAACTCTGAAAAGTTGGGGAACTCTGGCTTAGAGTAACTCAACTGCATTTGGCATTGGACATTGGCCCTGCTTGCAAACCTCTTGCCCCAAGGAAGAATATTCTTGCTTCTTCTTTAAATTGCTTAGGTGAAAAAATTCCAAAATGAAGAATTGATGCCACATTCTTTGAATATTTTCTGGGTTAAACACAACATGCAAAATTCGGTGAAACATCATGGTTTCCCAGTTGTTTCTCAAATAGTCAAATGGAGACTGGAAAGACATCTGGGGATACTTTAAGTGGAACCGTTGCACATGTTTTGCTTTGAGGGATTTAATATTTAGCATTTGTACTAGCAAATATTATTCAGGTTTCTTGAATCGTGCAAATGGTTTTTTCTATTTAGTAATAGTTACTGCATGTACTTCCTACCTGCCAATCTTTAGATCCTGCACAATAATAAAATCAGCAACAAGCCCAATATGAAAACATAATTAAAATAAACAAAACTGAACAGAATTAAAAACTGAGAAAAAAATACGCTTCTAAACAAGTAGTTTTCAGTCACCAAAAGACTTCTGGAAAAGCTTTGACTTTGCTGTTCTCCTGAAGATGTCAAATGTGGATGTCATCCAAATCTCATGAAGTTTGTTCCAGATGGCTGCGACCAATTAGATCAGAAGTTCTTGACTTCCATAATTCTAATCTCACGAGGGAGGAACACCCCAACATCCCCTCCTGAATTGAGCAAATAAAATGGATGTGTCAACCCTTCACGCTAGTCCAGACAGGAAACCAAAACCATGAGTACTAATACTATCTTTAGTGTAAAATTACAGTAACAGAATCTGCAAATCTGGAATCATTTCTCTCCTCCCTTGCCTTTATTTTCCAGAGAACTAGAGAGGGACCCTTCTGAGATGCTTCCTTCATCTTCATTCCTTTGGTGGGCTATACTCTTGTATGACTATTGTCTATGATGCAACTCTTCCACCTATTTCCTAGTTTATTCTCACTACACAATAAGGCTCAATTCTATCTGGAAGACATGATTCTGAGGGATGTCTCTATGAACACACAGCCTTCCAAGCATGGAAACTATGTCAAAAAAACTTATCTAAACCTGAAAGCATTAACATAGTCGGAAGAATGGAGAGAGGTCTTTCCCCTTCTCTTGCAATTCTTGTTGGATTGAGTTGCTATCAGAGCCAGGATGAATTGGATTGAAAGGTAAGCACATTTGACATTTATAGTGTATTAGGAAAAAATAATTTTGTAGTTGGATAGGCCTAAGCTGGAATTGAAACAATGCTCTCTGTAATTTCAGCAGTAATGAATAACCATCAGAGTTAATGGCTATTGATAGAGTAATGCTCCATGAAGTTGTTCAATCACCTTTCAAAACGGTGGTCATCATCTCATTTTATGGCAACCAATTCCACCGTTTGACTATGTATTCTGCAAAAAAAATAATAGTTCAGGCACAGATCTCTCCAAATTAATATTAATCAAATACCCAAGTTCCAAAATTATGAAGGAAGGAAAAACCTTGTCCCCATTCCAATTCTGCATACCCTGCTTGAAAATTGTACATTTGATAGACACAAGTGGAAAATTGTGAACTATGGAGGATAATCGTGGTATGATTGGATGGATGCAGTGGTAAGCTTTGTCCGGACTATTTCCTCTTTCTCGCCCTGTCTGCATTTTGGAGGTAGGTTCAAAGGGCCTCAATCAAGACTCAAATGGACTGATCGAATAGAACAAGGTTGTATTGAGCAGTGTTGGTCAACCTTACCATCTTT